TTGGGCGAAGGGGGACCCCCTTAGATTTTCATAAAAACTTGTCCATTGATACAGTTTTGGACGCTGATTCCAATGGTGAAGTCTGTTTTTCGCCACATATAATACTTTGGCCCCTAGAGGCATTCAAAGTTTTTTTTGGGGCGAAGGGGGACCCCCTTCGATTGGACCCCCTTAGATTTTCATAAAAACTGGTCCATGGGTACAGTTTTGGACGCTGATTCCAATGGTGAAGTCTGTTTTTCGCCACATATTATACTTTGGCCCCTAGAGGCATTCAAAGTTTTTTTTTGGGCGAAGGGGGACCCCCTTAGATTTTATTATAATATGTAGTGATTTTAAGTATAATATGTGGCGAAAAACAGACTTCACCATTGGAATCAGCGTCCAAAACTGTACACATGGACCATTTTTTATGAAAATCTAAGGGGGTCCCCCTTCCCCCAAAAAACTTTGAATGCCTCTAGGGGCCAAAGTATAATCTGTGGCGAAAAACAGACTTCACCGTTGGAATCAGCGTCCAAAACTGTACACATGGACCAGTTTTAGTGAAAATCTAAGGGGGTCCCCCTTCGCCCAAAAAAAACTTTGAATGCCTCTAGGGGCCAAAGTATAATATGTGGCGAAAAACAGACTTCACCATTGGAATCAGCGTCCAAAACTGTACCCATGGACCAGTTTTTATGAAAATCTAAGGGGGTCCGAATGTGATTCTGAAAGTGAATCTGAATGCCTCTAGGGGCAAAGTATAATATGTGGCGAAAAACAGACTTCACCATGGGAATCAGCGTCCAAAACTGTACCCATGGACTAGTTTTTATGAAAATCTAAGGGGTCCACCTTCCCCCAAAAGACTTTGAATGCCTCTAGGGGCCAAAGTATAATATGTGGCGAAAAACAGACTTCACCGTTGGAATCAGCGTCCGAAACTGTACACATGGACCAGTTTTTATGAAAATCTAAGGGGGTCCCCCTTCGCCCCAAAAAAACTTTGAATGCCTCTAGGGGCCAAAGTATAATATGTGGCGAAAAACAGACTTCACCATTGGAATCAGCGTCCAAAACTGTACCCATAGACCAGTTTTTATGAAAATCTAAGGGGGTCCCCCTTCCCCCAAAAAACTTTGAATGCCTCTAGGGGCCAAAGCATAATTGTGGCGAAAAACAGACTTCACCGTTGGAATCAGCGTCCAAAACTGTACCCATGGACCAGTTTTTATGAAAATCTAAGGGGGTCCCCCTTCGCCCCAAAAAAACTTTGAATGCCTTTAGGGGCCAAAGTATAATATGTGGCGAAAACAGACTTCACCATTGGAATCAGCGTCCAAAACTGTACTCATGGACCAGTTTTTATGAAAATCTAAGGGGGTCCCCGTTCCCCAAAAAAATTTGAATGCCTCTAGGGGCCAAAGTATAATATGTGGCGAAAAACAGACTTCACCATTGGAATCAGCGTCCAAAACTGTACCCATGGACCAGTTTTTATGAAAATCTAAGGGGGTCCCCCTTCGCCCAAAAAAAAAAATTTTGAATGCCTCTAGGGGCCAAAGTATAATATGTGGCGAAAAACAGACTTCACCATTGGAATCAGCGTCCAAAACTGTATCAATGGACAAGTTTTTATGAAAATCTAAGGGGGTCCCCCTTCGCCCAAAAAAACTTTGAATGCCTCTAGGGGCCAAAGTATAATATGTGGCGAAAAACAGACTTCACCATTGGAATCAGCGTCCAAAACTGTGCACATGGACCAGTTCTTATGAAAATCTAAGGGGGTCCCCCTTCCCCCAAAAAACTTTGAATGCCTCTAGGGGCCAAAGTATAATATGTGGCGAAAAACAGACTTCACCGTTGGAATCAGCGTCCAAAACTGTACACATGGACCAGTTTTAATGAAAATCTAAGGGGGTCCCCCTTCGCCCCAAAAAAACTTTGAATGCCTCTAGGAGCCAAAGTATAATATGTGGCGAAAAACAGACTTCACCATTGGAATCAGCGTCCAAAACTGTACCCATGGACCAGTTTTTATGAAAATCTAAGGGGGTCCGAATGTGATTCTGAAAGTGAATCTGAATCTGAGGCTGTCTTGACAGACGTGTAACCAATGCTCCTTCCAGTATATATTAGAGTTCAGTGGTCTCAGTAAATGCCGTGAATATCAAAATATATTGGCTTGTTTTTACTCGTGGGAAAGTTGTAAGGGTTGTAAGACTTTGGTCACGAAAAAAGAGCAGTGGAGCATACCTTCAGGTTCCAAAGGTATGCTTGGATAGTGGATACCTTTGGTAGGTATCCAAAGGTATGCTTGGATACCTAAAAATTCAATTTTAGGCATGTACTGAAAAGTTGGCGTTAATTAGATAATAATGGCGTGAGACATTTGCGAGAAAAAAAAAACAGGAGGAGTTGGCGAAATCCCCCCCCCCCCTCCTCCACTGCGGTAAGGTCCTGCACCTTCTCCGAAGGTTCAGGTGACATCCTTCACCAATATTTTTGGCGCTCCTACACCCATGGCGCTACCGTTCAGCGCCTGCAGGTATGCTGCACCGCATTACTTCATCCGTAATTCCAGAGCATATTTTCGTCTGGACAGCGAGTTGCGGTGAAGAGTCCGGAAACGGCGGCGATTTCAGGACAGCAAGAATCGACCGCCATTGGAATGATTCCTTTACAAACCGTGCAAATGCAGATGAATACCCGGTCCAATGTAGGCCTAGCTCCAATGCCGGTTCAATGCTTTTAAAGGAAATAGTTCACTTTTTAACATGGGTTTTGAACTGGAATAGCAGTTCCGTAGCTTGGGCTGAGACGAGCATAAATCAGGAGCTTTTACAGCCCAACGATCACCCTAGGCAAAGATATTCTATTTCTCGTCCCGAAAAAGGTGTCTTGCGTTGAGGATGTGTGCCTTGCATATATTTCCATCCAGTATGAAAAGAGCATGGGTCCCGAAAATTCTTCAGAAACTAGAGAAATTATCTACGAGAACTCTAGAGAAATTCTCGTACTGATCAATTAGGACATTCAGGGGAACATTATCAGATCGAGCAGATCGCCCAAATGCCGGTGGCTGCGATAATTTCTCTGTTTCTGAAGAATTTTCGGGACCCATGCTCTTTTCATACTGGATCGCGTGTGCCTTACAGAAACTGAAAAGTTCTTCCTATATCAAAATATAGAAAAAAAAATTTTGTTATAAAAAGGTTTTATTTTCTTTGCTGATTATTTTGAACATAAAAAATCATAAATCGTTGCAAAAAAAAAATAATTTCGTGAAAGTGAACTATTTCCTTTAAGTCTCTTACAGGGCCCGGTCACCTGTCCTGTCAGAGGCTCTTGAGAGCATTTACTGTGAAAGCGACCAAGAGTAGGTACGCACCATTCAGATATAATTAACATCTGCTAATTGACCAAAACTAAAATGTCCTATCCACCCGCACTGGGACGAATATGTATCCTACATTGAGCACATACCTGTTATTTTTTCGCAATTTCCTAACGAGCGGAGATAATTATTGCTCGAATTAATGGGCCGTAACCGAAATTCCGAGAGTCGCATTCACAAAGCCCATGTGTTGAAAACCGCCAAACTTATTTCTCGCCTATTTTGTAAACGTCACGACTCACGGTACAGTTTTCGAAGCATCATCATCGAGAAGTAAGGCCACCTCATCTCGATAACGATGACGGTCACACAATGATTACGCCCCTGACGAGTATGATATTGCTCCAATTCATGAATTTTAAAAGAAAGCGCCGGTGGCATTGCTTAGCATACGTAGGTTATGCGTAGGAGGCTGGTACGTTTTTTTAAATACAGTAGTACCTATCCAGTACCTATCCAGTACCCAGCCAGCCTTCCCAAGTGGGGCCCCAAAATGGGACCCATCTGGGCTGCCCACCTTGGACCCAGATGGGAATGTCATGGGCGTCCAGCTGGGTCCCATCTGGGCACCCATCTGAGGCCCGTATTGAGCCCGCATATGGGCTTTCCCAGTTGGGACCCACATGGGCAGCCCAAGTGGGGCCTATATGGGACCCAGCTGGGATATATGCATATATATGGGTCCCACACGGGCTTTCCCAGTTGGGACTCACACGGACACATGCAAAAAGCGCACATGGAATTTAATTGGGATTTGGTGCCTAGCTTATGTCGTCCACTATTTCCGCTTGAATCCCAAAAACTAGCAATATGGTCAGACGTGGGAGAACCGCGTACCCTTTACCTCTCACTAGATCCCCAGAGATTCGAAATCAACGACCTATGGAACATGATGCGGGGACCCTAACCACTACACTACGCTACCACTGCAGGTAGGCGGCCGGCGGCCGGTAGAGAACGGAAGCGTGGATGCGTACCTATTGTGAAAAAGGAGAAGAGTTTGTAACGATAGTGATAGAGGCCCGAGCGGTCCGTCAGCGCCGTATTGCGTCTATTTATAGTCACCAACTGCCGGCGCGGCCGCCCCGCGGCCGCGCCATCACACAACGAACGCCGGCGACACAGTATCAGCGACCTCGCAGGGACGCGGGCAGGTGTGTGCCCAGGCGGCTGTCAGATCAGGAGTCTGTCAGGGTGGCGGCACAGATCAGGCAGAGTAGCGGCACAGTGGAGGCGCTGGCCAAGTCCAGCACGTAAAGTTAGCACATCTAGCCCATCTGGGACCCAGTTGGACGCCCATGACATACCCAGATGAAGCCCAGCCCACATTCGCCCAGATGTACCACTTCCAGCCCATGTGGGCCCCATTTGGGATGGCTGGCTGGGGTATAGTCTATAACTAAGTAGTCAGCATGCTAATACCTTGTTTAAACAAAAAACGAAAAATGGTCAAGTTGACTCGCAGCCATCAACTCCAGTACTAGCGTAAGCATTTCAGTGGACAACAAAATATGCGATCTTAATTCACTACTATCGAGTAACGACTCCACGAGCCTGGTAAAAAGATCAGCTAACTAAAAGATTATCACGCCTTAGCATCAAACCTGATAACTGGCAGGACTACCGTTCGCATTGTGCACTATCACACAATCCATTTATTTTGACTGGACATGCATGATAAGAATACAAAGCTCTGCACGACGCAATAAATCGATCAAAGACATCGGCCATACACAGTCAAATACAAACAAGGACAGCGGCACGAGGAGCACGGAGCAGCCGCCGACCGGCAGTTGAGAGCCATAACCCTCCCGCCCCTCCCAGGGCAGGGCACCGTCCCCTACGGCAGGGCACTCCCTCCCAGGGCAGGGCACCGTCCCCTACGGCAGGGCACTCCCTCCCAGGGCAGGGCACCGTCCCCTACGGCAGGGTACTCCCTCCCAGGGCAGGGCACCGTCCGCTACGGCAGGGCATCGTCCCCTACGACAGGGCACCGTTCCCTACGGCAGGGCACTCCCTCCCAGGGCAGGGCACCGTCCCCTGCGGCAGGGCATCGTCCCCTACGGCAGGGCACTGTCCCCTACGGCAGGGCATCGTCCCCTACGGCAGGGCATCGTCCCCTACGGCAGGGCATCGTCCCCTACGGCAGGGCATCGTCCCCTACGACAGGGCACCGTTCCCTACGGCAGGGCACTCCCTCCCAGGGCAGGGCACCGTCCCCTGCGGCAGGGCATCGTCCCCTACGGCAGGGCACTGTCCCCTACGGCAGGGCATCGTCCCCTACGGCAGGGCATCGTCCCCTACGGCAGGGCATCGTCCCCTACGGCAGGGCATCGTCCCCTACGGCAGGGCATCGTCCCCTACGGCAGGGCATCGTCCCCTACGGCAGGGCACTCCCTCCCAGGGCAGGGCACCGTCCCCTACGGCAGGGCATCGTCACCTGCGGCGGGGCATCGTCCCTTTCGGCAAGACACGGCCCCAGACAGTGGTCATCGACCCCAACGGATGGGTAACATCTCCCAAAGTAAGGACACTAGCCCAATCTGACTGAGGCATCCCCAGCGACATGGCACCATCACTCTGGCCCTCCCACCCGACAAGGGTACCAGCCAGGCGTACAGAATACCGACCCCAGCGACCGCGCGCCATCTCCCACCCACATAACACGACCACTCCCCTTCCCGGCAAAGGGTTACCGTCCCGGTCTGCAGGGTGTCGGTCCCAGTAACAACGTACCATCCCTGATCCCTTCCACTGCTGTCTATTGCACGGGTCCCTCAGTCGTGGTCAGAGAAGGCCAGACAGGTGAGCGCCTTGGTGTGCCCCTTGTAGGTGCGCACCACACTGCCCGTCTCCAGGTTCCACAGGCGCGCCTGCTCGTCGGACGAGGCGGTGAACAGGTACTTTGAGTCCGACGAGAACGCGCAGTCCCACACCCAGCGCTGCGTCTCGTCCTTGTTGCGCCACTCGAGCGTCTTTACCAGCGAGTAGTCTTTGGTGGACCATATTTTGGCCGTGTGGTCGGCCGAGGTAGTGCACAGCAGCTGGCCGTCTGCCGAGAAGCGGCACTTGAGTCCGTATCGGGTGTGCGCCTCCAGCCGGCGTTTGGGCGTGATCTGCACGGGCGCCTGGTCGGTGGCGCCGTCCGACAGGCTCCAGATATAGCAGCTGCCGCGCGAGTTGATGGCGGCCATCTGACGGCCGCTGCTGTCGATGTCGATGTGCTGGAACGCCGCGTCCGGCTCGGGGATGAGTTTGTCGTGCTGGTCGGAGCGCAGGTCCCACTGGTGGATGGTGCCCGCCTGGTCGCCGATAAACAGCTCCACCTGGTTCGGGTGGAGCACGATGCACGTCATCGGCTGGTCCACCTGAAACACGCGCTGGCAGTGCAGCCCACCGGTCTTCACGTCCCAGATTTTGGCCGAGCGGTCCTCGCTAGCAGTGAACATACACCGGCCGTCGCGCAGGAAGCCCACGCCCACCACGTTCTTACTGACGCCCTCGAAGTTGATGATGGGGCTCATGTCTGTGGAGTTGACGTCGTACATGCGCACGTGCTGGTAGCCGGCGGCGGCCAGCAGCGTGCGGTCCGGCTGGAACGTGAGCGCGTTCACCTGCGAGTCCTGGTGCTGGCAGGTGCGCTTGCACACGCCCGTGTGCGGCTCCCAGAACTTGATGGTGTGGTCGTAGCCGGCGGTGGCCAGCAGAATGGCGTCTGACGAGGACACCCCGTCGGAACAGACGCTCATGGTGGCGGCGAGCTGGCGACCTGAGACAGACGGGGACACCGGCGGGTCGTCAGAACACTGGGAAGGGATGGCATCTTAGGATGGATCTCACTGTAGGCCTAAAATTGATGATCAAACAGTATTGAAGGTGACAATTTGTGCAAGAACACCGCCCAATGACCATTTTAATTACTGTTTTTTCTAACTAAAAATTAAACTATGGTAAATAAAAATATCACATTAAACATTTTCAGTATCAAATTGAAGTATGTCTATTGTCTACTGTCTAGCATGCCAACTAATGTCATCCTAATCCAAATGACATATGTAGGTTGCCATCTGAATAATAAATGTGAACAACAAACTGTTGACAGTTGACAGTATACCCAATCCCATCATTCACAGGATACAAAGCGATACTTTATCACATCAAATTGTATGCCCATGGTCAAGGGACAAGGGTATCTTAGGGGAACAGAGTATCTTAGGGGAACACAAGAGAGAGAAAGAGAGAGAGAGAGAGAGAGAGAGAGAGAGAGAGAGAGAGAGAGAGAGAGAGAGAGAGAGAGAGAGAGAGAGAGAGAGAGAGAGAGAGAGAGCAAGAGGAAGAGTGGATCAGGGGGGTGAATTGGTTCTATCCATTACTACATTTATACTTTGATTATGGATAAAAACTGGGAGACACATAGGCATACAACATCACATGTAAGGCCACATGTAAGGTAAGGCTACACTGTGCATGACCGTCCAGAAAAGTATGTGCATATTCTGCAGACCAAGATCTGTGCTTTTATGATTTCCTCAATATCAGTGTCTGCAGTTTTCCAGAACTTATGTGAAGTAGGCATTGTATGCAAACCTCAGCATGACATCTAGCAAGTGTTAAGCCAATAAATGTAGTTTTGCTAGTTGTTATTACATTTACTTCAAAACATATTCATTTTGTAATATAATTGGTAAGCACTAGCCACTAGGCAGTTAATTAAACATGAAAAATTATTTATTATTAGATAAGTCACTTGGATTTCCATTGTGTGCACCAAGTGCACCAACATCTATCTCATCTCAAGTAAGCATGCAGATTCTGCAAAAAAGTTTAGACATCTGAAGTTCATAGTTGATATGGACACTCCTGACCATCCAACATTTTCCTGGACTGAACATCCATGATTTCCTTGACTGAATGTCAGTGACCTGCAGGGTAGCCTAGTGTTGCCCACCCAGTGTATTTCCTAGGTAAGTTGAAGTACCTGGCCCTGCTGAACTTTATCTGTTTAACAATTTCCTGCAATACCCGACATAATGTAGGTCACAGGCTTAATTTCCTGGAAGCTGGAGGATCACAAATAGTGCAGCTTGGGCTTAAATATAGTATCAGGCACCTCATTGGCTACATCTCAATGACCATGTATCCGCGGCACAAGTTAATCCAACTTTTCAAAGCGGATTTTCTCAATCATATTTAGCAGGGGTGTGGAGCCGGAGCCGGCACATTTTTGCCCGGAACCGGAGCTGGAAATGGAGCCACCATGACATTTCACTTGGAGCCAGAGCCGGAGCCGGAGCCAATTTCTTTTCTCTGAAGCCAGAGCCGAAGCTGTCTGAAATTTCCACGGCTCCGCATCCCTAATATTCAGCCATAATTCAAAGCTGTAAATATGAGAGTAAGCGTGAGGTAAAATCACAAATACGCTCTTTTTTGCACAAGATGAATAAAATGCTAAAAAAACGCACGTGATAACGTGATATTTCGCTAAATTGATTTAAGAGTGTCATGTCATGGAACCGCAGACTCAGATTGGAATGATAATAGACCAAAACTAGGAAGATACATTGCCTGGAGATTCCCTAACTGCCTACCTAAGCAATTTGATGCATGCCTCCAATGTGCAAATTTTGTTAGAATCAACTTATTTTAATAAAAATCGAATAACTGCTTCTAACCAAGCCAACCCACAACAACCACGAATGCCAACAGCATAGTTACGTCTGGACAACGAGTTGCGTTGGAGAGGCCGGAAATAGTGGCGATTTCAGGACCGCAAGAATGGACCGTCCAGGGGGTGTCGAAGTCTAGTAGGAAAATCTGGCAAATTCCCTGCGTGACGTCACGTCGGGGATGACCGACGGTACCTTGCACTGAAAGATACGGCAGAACGGCTATTTTTGAAAAATGATTAAAAATACTTTTGTGCTGTTATGACGCATAAAACGCTTATCAGCATGTTCCTCATCATGTGATAAAGGCATATCCGTGGTCGAAAATAGCTGAGCCCCTCCCAATTTTCAACCACCGACCTCATAAGCAAAGGATGTAAGCGTAATCCTTAAGGGCGACTTTCCTATACATATCCGTACATATGCGTCCTTATGGAAATCGGTAGTGTGGCGATTGGCGACGCGCGCGACATCTGTGTGGCGACCAAGTGGTGACTGTGGCGACACCTGGTGGCTGCTTTTCTGCTGTATGTAGGCATTGGGGTTTTGCCAGATGTGGTTCCTACTGCTACACTACTATGTTGACCCAATACTAGAAAAGTTATTTTGCTAGTAAAAGGCAAGCAAATTAAAAGTTGATTTATAAAATTGCTTATAAATGATTACGAGATAATAATAAAGAAATTTTGATTGAATAATAATTTAAATATTAAACCGTGAAACTATATTCTGGTAGGTTTAGTAGAAATAAGTCCGTGCAACCTTGTATTTAGCAACTGTCGGCCAAATGTCACGTGACATTTGACCTTGACTCGGCACCAAAATTTGATGACAAATACTGCGCGGTTGATACATTTGATGGCGTCAACAAACTGCTTGCTCCAAATCTTATACAATTTTAAGCTTGTATCAGATTTTCAATCTTTTCTCTTGTATTTTGCTGTGACCTGCCTAGTATTTTATTGCAGATTGCAGAGCTCTTACTCTGATTCAGTTTTGTGTTGCTGCAAGATGTAGGTACATTTAGGAGGTTTCCAAGAGAGGAGAAGATGAGGGTCGCTTGGGTGAGGGCTGTCAGGTAAGATCCAGATGTGTCCTTGGTAAGATCCAGATGTGTCCTTGTTAGCTGTATTGATAAATGCAATACATTATGTAGTAATGATAAATGTAATAAATGTTATGTAATGACAAGCACAAACCAGGAGCTTTTACAGCCCAATGATCACCATAGGCAAAGATTCCATTTCTCGTCCTGAAAAGTGCCTTCTTGAGGAATTTGCTGAGGAATGCAGCCATGTCATCGTCAGCTAATCAGCATTGGCATGCTGCCCAGAAAAACCAATGCCAATACCAATACCAATGCGCATACCAATGCGCCAATGGGTTTGAATTTTACAACATGATTAATCAATGCAAGCTTCCGCGTCAAACAATATTTTCTATAGAATATTGGGTAGTTGTAAAGCAGGCGTCACACTACTTTTAGCAATGAAGGAGAGGTGCTATACCCAGAGATGCTTTCTAATTGAACCAAGCCAAAACAAACCTAACTAAACCTGACCTAGCCATACCTACAACCTAAACTCTACAACCTAGGTACCTACAACTTAGAACCTACAACCTAACCTACAGCACCTCTCCTTGGTTGCAAAAAGAAGTGTGACGCCTGCTTTACTACTACCAAATATAGTTCTTCTTTTATTAAAATACAGAAAATATTATTTATATAAAGGTTTTATTTTTGTGCTGATCATAATGAGCATAACAAATCAAATCCATTGCATAAAACTAATTACAGGAAAGAGAACATGAAATCCATTAAAAGCTTATCATGTTTACCACAAGTTACCTAATGAAGGTAATGCTTTGACCTGGTAATCCGTTGAGTGTAATGCCGCAGGCAGCTCTAAGGGATGTGTTGGGATGGGTAAGGAAAATATTTTTGGTTGAAGAGGTGTGTTATAGGCTACAGGCCAAATGCATACCTCTTTAACAAAAAAAAAGAAAAGATGTAGGTACTCTTACCTAGCATATATTCCAGTTACTATGTACAAAAAAGACGTGCTACGAATGTTGCTAGCGAACCACTGTAGGTTGGGTTAGTTAAGGTTTGACCATGTTCTGAAGCATTGTAAATAATCATAATTGTTCACTCTTAGCACCTCACATTGATATAAAGCCAATTAACTACATTTTGATTGCTAGGTGAGGATGTCAACCTTCTGATTCTGGATTCTGGAGCCAAAATAACATGATACAGTGTCAGTGATACCATCTTGTTTAGAAGCTGTGGCTGTGCTGTCTGAGTCAATATCTTACCTCTAAACACAAGGCATTTTGTATGTAAAAGTCCACGTGCAAGAACAGTATGCCAGTTGTTACATTTGTTGCATCTGTCATTTACAGACGTGCAGATGCAGTTCCCAGGAGCACTTCCCAGCTCTGTTCCTGTCATTTTGAGGAGGGCAGCTGCATCCCAACACTCTTCCAGTACAACGGGACATCGGGTACCAGATTGCTCATTTCCGGTAAGCACTAGCCACTTAACTTCATTGTTTGAGTCCAACTCATATGCCAGGTTGCTTACCATACCAGTATATGCATAGTAATGATGCAAGTCTTGAGCCTACGGGCCCGGGCGGTGTTTCACGGGACGCTGCTACCACGCTGCTATCAAATTGCGCGAGCTGACGTCACACTTGTGGTAGTGTTGGAGCAATGGGCCTGTTCATGTCTCCATGGAAACCCAATTTGACACGTGTAAAAGCATCGTGCTGCTATCACCGGTGAAACAGGGCCCCGGTGTCGGGCTTAAAATCGGACCCGCCGGACTTTTGCCGGGCCTAAGCTCGAGGAGGCCGGGCATATGCCGGGCTCGGCAAGGGCTTGCCTGTGTTAAAGGGACAATGCCACCTTCCAAAAAGTTAATAAATTGGCATAAAAGTGATGTGCCATAAATCAGAAAGAGCGAAATTTTTAGGTTTACATTTTGCACGAAGCCATCAAAGCGATGCAGCAGGCTAGTCATATGTATTACTTGTTGCACACTCATATCTTGGGCAAAATGTATTGATGACAAGTGGAAGAAGTGGAAAAACGGTTTTAGCCTTTATTTGTGTATTATGTGTATACCTGTCAGCGCAGTGTGGAAGTTGAAATTGTTGGTTTGGTAAATCTTCATAAAAAAACATAATAGTTGTGGTTCAGTTCAAAGTTGATTCAAATTCACAAACTCAGTTTTTGTGATGTGGTTGCAGGTCGCCTGTGCTACACCAAGCTCAGAAAGGGAAAGCGGATCACACAGCCACCATCAGCGCGCTAGAACTCCAAGGAGGATCTGCGAGCGGCGCGCCAGGCGCCGTCGGAGCAGCCCCTGGTAGCGACAGCCGCCGCGCCGTCGGAGCAGTCCCTGGGAGCCACGGCCAGCCGCTGTCGGAGCAGCCTCTGGGAGCCGGCCGGCCGCCGTCGGAGAGGCCTCTGGGAACTTACCTGTAACTGACTGCGGCTGACGTGTGTGTCCGTGTGCGCGCGTGTGTGTGTGCGTTTCCACTGGCAGTGATAGTGACAGGTGAACGGTGTTCATGACCGATGGCCGGCGGTCTTTGTTGTTATTCTGATAATACGTATGAGACATTGTTTTAATATGTTTTGTTCTGAAACGTTTCCAAAAACTGAATCACTTCATTATCATTCTACTTAATTAAAGCATGTTTACCAGATAAAAGGATTTGCAAATCAAAGGAAGTAAAATTGTGTGAAAATTTACTCAGTTGCGCAGCTAGCCAACACACATTTGCTACTGTCAGGCCGCTATGGAACATGTTCAAAGTAGCTCAACGTATTGAATGACTCACTGCTCCCCCCCCCCCCCCCGCCAACGTTGGCGCGCATTGGGCGCAGGCACAAGAGTGGTATCAACGACCGCCGTCTTGAGCTGCACCAGGGTCTGCTGGCTCTTCGTCATGTATGGTGCATTGTTCAGATATCCCCGCTGCACGCTGTACGCTGTACGCCGCTGTTTCGTTATAATATTTTCTGCTCGATTTGTTTGAAATATGGAAATATGTATAGACACTGGATGTGCAAAGCGTCCGTGTAGGACATCTACTTGTTTCAAACTGTCCCGGAGCATCCATGTTTCGGAAGTGCACGGCGTCGATGATGGCGAAAACGAGAGGTGCAATAATGTTGTAGCGGAACACCGGGACTGCACACAACTCACTGCAGTTGTCGACGTTTACACCGAATTATCTTGCTCAGCTCAGGTTGGCTTTGAAAACGGCAGGGTCATCGGGCGGGCTTAAAGGCGGTTAATACAGAGGACGGGATGGAGTGAAGGTTCCCGTTCAGGCGGTAAAGGGGGGGGGGGCGTCAAAATACCGGACTGTGACCCCTCAACGTGCGGCCGCCTCCCCCCTCCCCCAACTTTCATGACAACCATGTTAAGGACGGGCGTACAACTGTAAGCACATGTTGCATTTCGGATGTTGTGCCTGTAACAAATGCAAAGTTTTGCATTTTTTGACAATCAAAGCTCATTTCCTCCCAGCGAAGTAGATATTGAAACAATTTTTGAAGAGTTGATCTACCATTTGCCTATTCCGGCGACCGCCATAAAAGCCTCAAAAGCGTGTGAAATTCAATGGGCCTGAGCTGGGCTGGGTTCGGCGCCCATGGGCCCCGCTTGGGATGGGCTGTGTTCTGTGGGTTGGCTGGCCCGTGACGAACACTGCACCCTCGAGCCCGGCATAAACTAAACATGGCCGGTTCATAGTATAAAAGTCCGGCTGAGCCTTCTTTCAGCTTAGCAGCAGCATTCTAGTATTTGCAGATACCGTGCATGTTTCATACAAGACACAATTATACCTACAGATTCGCCCATGACAACCCCGATTCGTTGTTTGCCCGCATCAATAGAACGGAACACCTATCAACTACTAGCTCCAGCATAAACGTATCAACATGGATGCTCGTATAGTCCTATTTACCTTCGTATCCATATTTGATCTAACTGCTCTTTCTGGCACAGTTCAACACAAAACCTTAGTTTGTTGTCTGGAATAGATCAGAACAATACCTATGGGTGTTGTTGGTAGGTAGTTAAAAAGTAATACCTAACGG